AGTTTGAGAAAAGTAAACAAATTAAAGATTCAAGTGATAATTTATATCTTATGTGCAATTAATGACTGTATTTTGTAGTATTTATCACCATATTTCTACTGCGTTACTAACGCAGTAGGGGCTATTTATGCATATTTTGACCTCTTTTTGGTAATTTACGTGGTTTTTAAGTGCCGATTGTTATGTGTCAAGTACTTTCTTTGTTCATTTCACCATATTTTACCTTTAAATACGTTTTCAAATTTTTATGAAAATTATGATGAATCTGGAGGCGTGCTGCTTTAAATGATACTAACTACTGTACATATGACATACATATGCAATAGAATGTTTATTAAAAACTATCCAAATGTTAAATTTATATAATAAATGTATTATCCCCTTTAAACGGTAATACACATTGTTTTATAGACCGTATTATTAAAGCGATAAGCGTCGGGGAAAAGTGACTTCCCTTACCAGATGTGACGTAAATGGGGATTTTCTATACAAACCGCTTAGAATGTTAGCATTTTGAAAGTTAAATGCGTGTACACTGATCGTTCAATTACGATTATACAGTCAAAGGACATAATTATTCGCCACTTTTAAAATGGCGGCCAATTACGCAATCTTAAGCAACAAAAACATCCTCTTCTGAACAGCCCTCCTTTTATACCCCAACTCCTGATTTTTTTTTCAATAGTTTAATCACAAGAAGTTCGATCCATACATGTATTCATCATATCCGTAACAAGTCCTTTTCCTGTAACATTTTATAATCCTAGAAAGTTTTGTTCTGTCTTGTGCCGTAAATATTTTTTTCCTACCCCTCCCACTACGATTTTCAACACTTCCATACTGTTGATATCTTTTATTACACTTTTAATTGTCGATCTAGTAAAAACCCAATAATCTTGACAATTCTAAATGATTTTTATTCTCCTTATAACAATTTAGAATCAATTCTCGTACATCCCTACTTAATCCTTTTGTTTTAGTGACCATTTTTAAAAACGCCCATAAAATAAACTTGTAAACAATGCAGACGAATAATTGAGCTGTATATTACGTCTTCAAAGACGAATTGAACTTTGCCCTGTTGACATGAATAATATTATCGGTTATTTATAGCGCGTGGGTACATGTATATGGTGCGTAACGAGAACGTCAGGGGTGGCGAATAATTATCTTCTTTGACTGTAACATGAAAAATTTGACTCATGCATTACATAAATTTCATATCAGTTATTTACAAATTTGACATTCGGTAGTATTTAGGCGAGGCTATTCAGCTATTATAATAAATGAACCACAAAGGGTCATATAAAACTATTACAAAATAGCAAATTGAATGATTTAACTTTCAACAGGAGACAAAATAATAATTTAAAATCATTTTTCAAATGCGTTTTATATAGCATAGATATCTAAATCGCTTACATATCTAAGATTAAGATTAAGTCGTCAGATGCTATAAGCATGATAACAAAACGAAACAAAATCAAAGATTGATCAACTTTAATTGAAGTTTAATGTAGAACAAGCCATAATGTAAAGAAAATTATTCGGAGCAGGGATATTGAATCACTTAAACTTAATAGGTAAAATGATAAGAGAAATGTATCAGAAAAAAATCATGACGACCTATTGCCAGTAAAGCGAGTACAGTAAAATGATTTTGATTAAGTATCAAAATTGTTTTCCTTCAAAAACTTTTTACCTGAAAAAAAAGGTTGATTCTAAAACAATTGTTTATTATGATTTCAAGTTGTTATAGGAGCATACAGTGATTTAAAAAGAACCAACATTGCAACGACAAATGCTGTCTCTAGTACTCGCTGTTCAAAGATCAATGTGGTTATGTCGTAAATCTTTCGAGAGGACACATTTAGCATCTTAAAAACATTAAATAAAAATAAAACTATAGATTAATGGCTAAAGTGTCACTATATGATATCGCATGGCAATACAGATAAAATACTTGTCAAACGACTCAATAATCATAAACAAATACAGTACATGGATATTTTTTTCTTATCAGATTTAAATATTTTATCAGATTGAACTGATGACTTGTAATTCAATGCTAAACACTACAAAAGAAAAAGAATATTATGATGAATTTGGACGAGTGCAAAACGTTTAATTAAATAGAACCATAAGTAGTTAAAATGATTAAATGTAATAGTTTTAAATCGTTTGTGTTTGACACACAGCTCAACTAAAACATCTAAAAGTCATTTTCCTTCTAAAAGGGAGCTGTTCAAGAAGTTAAATATTATCACTTTTAGGGACAGCATATCGATTGTAGATTGACTATCTAAACACTTAATAATATTTAAAAAAAATGGAATGGAACTTAAAAAAAAATCCGTTTTATGAAATCTCTGTCTACTGACTACATTCGCGAAAAGTGAAACACGTGATATTGAAGAACAACTGTGACATGTTAGATTATATAGTGCATGTTTAAAATTTATTGCATACAATTTGTAAATTAGATTAAAAAAACATTTAACATGTCAGTGTTCGAAAACACGATAAAGAGTTGTACAAATATTTGTAAGGTCCGTGCTATGTGTGTGATTGGCAAAAGGAATAATTTTAATTAACTTGAAAACTCATATTGAGATTGAAAAGAAACGGAGGACAAAATGAACATTGATGACGGCGTAATGTTACTCTGTACTGAGAAGACGGTATAGAACTTTAAATGGTGGTTAATTAGTTCAATGTGATTACATTTACTTACATCTCTTTCTCGCCATTGTAGAAGTTTTGAAGGCTTTTATCTTCTGATACTCTTTCGAAATTTCATTTCATTAATGACCATTACCTACATAATAAGGTTCTTATATCACAGTTGAATGTGAACATCGTCTGATGATCTAAATTTGTTTATATTAAATGTTTAATTCTGCTCAAGCTGGTGTTATGGGGCGTATACACTAGCTTAACTACTCTCAATATAACCGAATCTGCAACATTTTTCATGTTTGCATTTTCGTTTATTATTCGGGGTTCTGTATTTTACCATTCTATATTGCAATGTTACAGTGAAAGTCACATCATATACATGTTTTATTCTGAATTGAACTTTTGATTGATAAGTTTTTTACTGTTACATTCAATTTTAAGGACCATTTACAACCAGTAAGCACATACTATAGCAGACGATTTTGTTAATATCAAGCGACTGTAATTTAACAAAATATTATTCTATTTACACTGTAACTAAATTGATTGAATAAAATGCACGTTTTTTAATGTATGTTCATTGCAAATTACAAAATGTATACGTAAATTGGAAAAATATAAAAATATATATAAAGTATGTAAAATGAGGAACTTATTTGCAATCCCTCATGTTTTGCTACATTCTTTTGATATATCTATGATCCATCTTTCCAATTATTATATTATTTATTATTTCACATTCATTTTTTAATGTTATTATATTTTCCTTTCACCTATATATTTGGGGATCAGAGCATTCGCATAGACGTAGTCCGTCAATTTTCTATTTTATACCATATATTTGTTCATGTTTATAGACGTATAATAGCAAATAAAGTGAAATGTGGCGCTGGTACATGTACGGCTATCCGGAAAGATTATGATGATGATATGTGATGATGTTGGTGATAATCATGATTTAAATAATGATGGACATAATGATGTTGATGATAATGAGTAGTGACAGTAGTATTAGCAGTAATTGCAGGTAGAATTATGAAGATATGCTTATAATAAGTTAATAACTAAATGATAACTATCAATTTGATGTAAGTGCTAACGACTATGATGGAGCAGATGGTGGTGGTGATGATTATGATAATGATGCTGATTATTATTATCACGGTGACTATCTTTATAATTATTATTATAACTATTATGAAAACATGGTTATAATGATTTTAGTGACGACTATGATGGATTAGATGATGATGGGTGTGATGATGAGTTAAATGATCATGATGTTGATGACGATAGAGTTAGTATGTTTTTTGTTTTTTTACTTTGATGATGCTTATTATGATAATGGTGATACATGTTAACATTTTGACACGGTGACGATAGTGTTTATTTTTAACAAATGTTGTGACGGGAGCTTTATTTCTTTTAAAGTCGATGTATTTTGCTGACAAGTAAGAACTATATTTGTTAGAGGGCAACAGATAAAACTCTTAGGATACCTATATTCGCCGAGGGCTTTATCAGGCGCAACACAGCAGTTTATAAATGGAAAATAACTTTTTAACTGCTGACTTAAGAAGGAGAAACGATTATTCTAATTTTTCTTCTAATATTTTATAATAATACTCTTACATGTATTATTTAAGCATTATTAGCTTATATAAGTGAAATGAATTACAACAAAAACGAATATATACAAAAACTGAAGTCATAAACATGATGTCGGTTATATTTCGAAATCTCAATATTTTGTTTGCTATTGTTTGATGCTGTCATAAAGCTATATTAATGCGAGTTCGCCCCTATTTCTTTTTTATTGTAAAGCTACCATAGTTAAAACAAATTAATAAATAGATAGATAGATATGCGACCCGCGAAAAGTTTATTTTGAATATTTCTTTGGTTTACTTATTGTTTAAATTATAACCGAACTATACATTAAAACGATAATGTCTGCAAAACAATACAATACATAGATAGCAAGCATAACACGCTTTATAAAATTTCTTTACATATGGAAGATTTATCGCATACAAGTATGATAACATAACCAATTTATTTAATAATCAACCTTGTGAATACACTCTTTGAATGATTTTATCAAGCCAAACAGAAAATTGATATTCGTCATTCAATAACATCAAATTCATTCATACGTAATTTCTTAAAATAAACCATTTGATATTATTTTTGTATAAGTTGTTAAATTTCCATTGGCTTAGAGTCAATCGGCTTCTTCAACCGAAACAAACACGAATATACTTGCAATGAAACATTAGATTCAAACTATTTTAATTCAAGCAAGGGCGGCATTACATTGTACTTAATTCTTCAGGACATCAATGTTATATATATTATGTGATCAAATATAGTATTGTGATCCGTTTAATACATTGGAAATGAAAACATTTTAAAGATGAACCTTGTGCACATTTTCAATACCACTTGATTCAAAACACCATAAATGGATTAAAGACGACACTTTACAGTAAGTAATATATTTTAATAATCTAACATTTAACTTTGTGTATCAATTATCTGGATGTATTCTGTATTTTCACATTTATAGCAGACATCATGTGTGTCATCATGAAACAAAAATATGTCTTTTGTTTTGGGTTTTCTTTTTAAACATATGTCATTGGAATATTTAACTATATGTTTCCAATCACTTTTTACCCCAAAGTTTAAATCAACTTTTGTGTAGAAGCCTTTCATCAATTAGCGTCTATGTGCGTAAAAACTCTTTTGGTTAAAACCTGGCGATGAAATGTAATACTGGAAATGAATGTTTTTGCCAGACGAATATTCAAGATTTGTTATCTATATAAAAAAGCCAATTTGTTTTTAATTTATACATTTTAAAAATCAATACACGATAGAAGACGCTATACAACAAAAAAGCCGAACCCTACCTTACAAACCAATTACAGAGATCATAACGCGTATAAACAATATAGGCCTTTATTGCCATGGGGATTTGACGGGTGCAAACTTGATACTGTGGAATATTTGATTACACATAATTATAGTATATTTATTTGAAAGGTTCGTGACAATATTCAATACATAGGTTTAAGCAAAACAGTATTTATATAATTATGATATTAACCCGATATCTATTCAGTGGATAAGAGGACCTACTGTTTATACAAAGAACAAAGAAGGGTATCATTAAAAAAACACTAATATAGACCTGATGACACTAAAATGTTAACGTGTTATTTATTTATAACGACTTCGATGAGTCAAAATGCATCCCAGATTACACAAAGTTGCGGATTACGACAAAAACAAAACTGTTTTGCTAAATATTTCGCAACAGGCACCAATAATAATTATGATATTAAAGTATGCATCAAAACTAATGACCTTTATTAAAGAGTGAACTCTTAATTTTTCCTTTTAAAATCTCACTAATTTTAACAACGAATCTGTATATTTATTATAAGATCAATGAAAAGCAAACATTAACAATTTGATATGTAAACTTCTAAGATAATTGTAAGTTTTTACCAGTACTTCAAGTCACATAGTTATAATCACTTATTAAACATTTCAATGACATGGGTACAAAAAAGTCCAAAATCTATGAAATGACCAAAAAAAAAAAAATCAAAATTTCTGGTGCGAACTGCGATGTTTTCTGAGTATAGACAGCCTATCTGTGATTTTCAGGCTTCATAGCCTTTGATCCCCTTTCAAAATTCCATTTTCTTTAGTTTCGCCCATTTTTTGTCGTTTAGGGCACACACATTTTTTTTACTTTGGGACAATTCGCTGCTTTTCATGGAATGACATTAACGTGTCAACATTGAAGGTTCCATAATAACCGCCGTATGAACACATTAAGTATGTTTCAAAATTCCAAATTTTACCATGTCATGTTAACTGTTGACTACTGGTCAAGTCGGTGCTATGGTGCGTTGACGGTAACTTGGCACTTTCCATTTTCAATTTTACCTGCTTTCAATTTAATTTGACTTTTTAGAGTATTTAAAATTTCTGAACAAAGTTACAAATATGAACATTAAACGTTGAAAAAAAAAACCCAATTATATGTTGAAATTTAATCTTTACTGCCGACGACCCAAAAGGTAGGCCGCTAGGACAAAGATTAAACTTTGTATCAATATGAAGAGGGACTTTTTAAAAATGGAAAATATGAGGAACTCAAAAAATCATATTCTCTCTAGCCCTGTCTATAGCTAGGTTCTTATCTATTCCTTGGATATGTCATATCATGCATGTTTTGCGCCACGAATCAGTCACCTCCATTAAGAAAAAACACAATATATCAATATTTGTTACATAACAATAAATATTTTAAAACAAAAAATAGTTGAATCACCATTGATTACATTTCACATGTTCTACATTAATTTGTGTAAAACATGTAACAAAAAGGGAGGTGAAGTGTGTCAATCTGATAAAAAAGGGAGTCATCCCTGTAAAATGTCGGCAAAAATGGTTTGGGCGATGTGTTTTAGGGGTAAACTCTATAAGTTAATCTGTCTGTATTTCAATTTCACTTGTCTGCACAAAAGTTACTTCTTCTTTCTTTACAACATCTTTCATAAGATACACAAAATTGGAGCTATAGGTGCTTGTTTCGCAGACATGCTTTACTCAACAACAGTGCTGCTGCTTCATTTGTATTCCCACAGGAACTTAAAATTCTATCAATATGAACGAGTATATTCAAAAAATACCCCCTATATAGCATAAAAACTATATATTATATAGGGGTTTTATTTTGACTATTATCGTATAAATTGATATATTTTTAAGTTTCTGTGGTATTCCTTACAGTCATTGACAACATGTTGATACTTGTCTCCCGCCTAGATACTTGAGCAACTTTCGTGAAATGTCTACAAAGGAACAAATATAACTAATTTTGACAATAATATTGGTTTTATAGGTTGATAATAAACATAATCATACTTGGCAAATATTAATTGAAAATTGTTGAATATGCTCTGTCCGAAATCTGTACAGTCCGAAATTTCTGTACTGAACTATTTCGATAAGGAAAATAGGACACGGTATAGAGCATTTTAAGACTCATTCGCGAATATGGCTACAAATTTGATAATAAGAGATTAATACACGGCAGAGTAGGGCCGGAAGGTGATAATCGGCCCGCAAAATGAATAATGGCCCCAAGGGCTTCAGTCGAGGGCATTATTCATTTCAGGGTTGTTTATCTCCTTCCGGCCCTACTTTGCCGTGTATTAATCTCTTTAATACACTTGGTAGATCTAATAGATCTAGTAGCATTAAAGAAAAAAAGAAAGAAAAAAAACCCCAAATACTTTGAAGTTCTTTCGTTGAAATTCTTGTCTACACTTCTACTGTCCTGTACTGTAGAGATGTTTACTGTTTGTGTGTCTAGAAGCAAGTTTTATTTTCATTTTTTTTCGGACTTAATTTTTCGTATTATTTATACAAATTTCAATAGTAAGTTAACAAAAATGTTTTTGTACGAAAAACGCTCAAGCTCTCATAATAAAATAAAGCGATTCGTGCTGATAACTTACTTTCACTTTTACAGTTATCTGTTTGATTACGTAAAATATGACGTCATTGTTTCAGTTTGTGCACGTGCACATGTTCTGCGGGCTGATAACTAGTTCTCAGCCCCGGGCCGCAAACTCATAATAGGTCACGTGACACTCATAATCAGTTGAAATCATAGGCAATTTTGTTACTATTTATTGTAACAAGTGTATTAAGGAAAATAGGACACGGTATAGAACAGTGTAAGACTCATTCGCGAAGATGGCTACAGATTTGATAAGTGTGTTTATATGTCCGGTGTACTAAAATTTGAGAGATTAAACTGAAAACGATAGTTGCGTCCCTTATATGCTGAAATAGACGAAGCACTGTACATAAAGATGTACACGAAAAACGTACGTTAGTTGAAAACTTCAAATATTCAACTATTTGTATTTGAAAGTCCTTACTTGGAATAATACTTAAATTGCCGCCATATTTAAGATCTTAAGTCTAATTACGACTGGTCTGGAGGGGTTGTAGAGTTACGACGTCAATATACGACGTCTTGTTGCCAGCATGTTGATAAAACGCGACATAAGTGTCAGATTGGTCCTTCGACCAAACGGGCGCACGACCGTTGGTAAAACGGCAACCTAAACAAACTTCCAATCAAAGAAAAGTGCCAAAGCTTTGAAACATTTGATGATTGAAGTATCAATGACACAACTAATTATTTGATGAAAGCTTATAGCCAGCATGTTGTGACAATTTCGGTCTGCTTACATGATCAAAAGTTCTTAATCCGATACTTTAAATCCACAAGACAATAAGAGTTATTTTTGATTGAACTCTAACATGCAAAATAAGCTTCAGAAATTTTTATTTAATCATCAGAATTTTAATGAAAATTATCAATTTCATACCAACAAATTCTAGATCACTATCATATATAACGATTATGCAGAAGTTTGAGAACAAAATAACATCATTTTTAAAATACATAGATGTAATAACGCCATATAAACACATCTACTGATGTTTCTAATTTAAAATTATAACCAGATTATACTTGAATGTTGAGTTCTGCTAACTCCAGTGTCTTTAGGGCATTTTTGTAGATTGTATCTTGTACCGTTTATGAAAATACTTGTCAAGCTAATACAGCCACATGTTAGTGTTACGTTTAAGGCTTTCTTAATGGATTTTGTTTTTCCCCTATAATATCGTCACATCAATATTCTTTGAGTCGCGCGCCAAGATTCGAATCCACAGTTGTGAGCGGTCGACCCGTAAATTCAATCAAAGTTTCATATGATCGTCAATAACAATACTTTTGTTGTTTAGCGGTATTTTAGTGGTTTTTTTATAGTTGGATGATTCCAGTATTCATCCTTTGATATTGCCTGACTATTCTTAGGTTGTGTTGTTAGCTTTCCTCGAATGTACGAACTGGTCACAGATAAGCGCCAGAGAAACACATCTGCAGTTGATTTATTTAACTCAAACTGTATCAATTACTTATTTAAATGCCGAGGTCTGCTTAAGCGGGTGAAAGGAAAGGGCGTGATTCGTAGCTTGCAATTACAAGTACTTTTCAGGAACATTCTCAATTAAACAGACATGTATCATTTTCAAGTCTGCTGTTCGATTAAATCCTTTTCATTCAGTGTCTTAGCAGTAAACCTTTAGCAACAAATCTTGGATATTCTCTTCGGAATAATTTGAGTGTCAATTAAGCTCATTACATTAATATAGCTCGGACAGGTTTTAACTGAGTCCTACAATACATGATTAATAAGAAGCATGTAGATTTAGTGCTAAAACAGGACAAGAAAAACCAATATATACGAATTATCATTCTTTGACTTTGACATTCTAAAGTACAATGTACATGGATGGTATTTAACTAGCAAGGAAATATACGTTGATTCAATTTCATATTTTAATGTTCTTGAATACCATAACTAACTTGAATAAGTCAAC